CCCCCCCCCCTCATCAACATGCTTATACGTTTTTAAACTAGAACCTTACTATTACATACCATATTTTAGACCCAGTGATATCATCACTCTCCTAAAGTGGACCTTTGCCCCCTTTGACTAAAACTCACATCAGCATACAGCTCCGCTCCATATCGTACAAACTAGTTCTGCTACTTAAGCTGAATTAAATAAGTTCATGCAACTCATGGATTCAATGGTATGCAATAACAAATACATGTTTTGCAGGGTTATTCCCAAAAGGGTGAAGAGTTTGTAGAAGGCAGGAGAAGTGAACAATCCAGGTCAACATAGCTGATTTGGAGAATTCTCCAATTCAGCTCACTTTCCATTTCTCCTATGCGATTGTTCAATTCTTCTGCCTTCTCCAAACTTTTCACCCTTTGGTGACTAACCCTGTTAATGTAAAGTGAACTTACCTGAGTTAGCCAGTGCTATAGCTTTGAGAGTTACAAACTCTTCTTTCTCAATCTTCATGCTCTTGTATTTCTTGACAAGCTGCAAGATGGTGTTATTCAACTCCAGCAGTCCTGCTAATTTTGACTGGTCTTCGTCCATTATATAGTCTTCGGCGTAGACCAGCTCATCTTCAAAAGCGAGAGATCGGTACACAATGCCCAATAACAAGATTTCCATCCATGCGCTTTGCAGAAGGCTCATCTGGTCAGCCAGTGACAAGGTGGAGAATCCTTGAGGAAGAGAAGCGATGGGAAGAGATGTTGGTTAAATTGAAAAGCACATTTAATTTAAACGCTTATTTTTATCTTAAACAATAATAACTGATATATCCTGTTTTATTTTATTGTGTAAAGAAAATGGTGGGTTGGAAAATTACTACAATAAATGCACTGTGCAGGAGGAGACACCTAGGATCCACGCTGCAGTGCTTGTGTTAGCAGACTGCATCCCTTGGATCTGTTCCCTCCTCCGGTCCCCACCACAGTGGCATCTACATGCTTTTATATCGATGATCTTCTCTTCTGTGCTTAACCATGACACCTCCCTCCTGAAGAAGCTTTTGAGAAACGTGTTGAGGATGGAACCACTTTCACAATATACCCTTAAACACAAGGTGGAGAACATACTAGGATTACTGTTGATATACGTCGAACTAATGGATAAGTACAGAGACTTTTAATTTTCTAGGCAACAATCTGATGGTTTTAAGGAGGTGTTCTCTTTTCTGTTTTCCATTATTTTTATTAACACATGAAGGCACTTTTCATTGCTATTCATATGTTTTTTAATGTGATTCAATAAATATGTATGATTTTAAATGGTAGGAGTAATGCTGTCTTGGTTCCGTTCATTCTCCATCTCCAAGTTCAAATCTCAGTTCTCCAATCTCAGTTTATTGTGGCATCTGTATTAGATTGGGGGAGTGGTACCACCACCTAGGCATACAAGGACTTATGTAGGTTGGAAAATTAAGTACAACTCTGCATTAGGATGAGTTCTAGAGTGCTTCTCCACCACTCTCAGTATGCAGAGAAAGAAGGAGGCAATGAGAGAAATAATGGCCTTTTAGTGTCCTCATCCACTTGCCACTTCCTGCAACTGAAAGATGGAAAATGTACAGTGGCAGATGGGTTGTGGTTAAGTTCCTTCAGAAAAAGTATCTGAGCTACCGAGCTAGGTAGTGTGCTTCAAATCATCAATATAATTTACTCTTCTCATACTTTTTTATTTTATTTTAATTATTTATTATTGAACAAAAACAATGGAAGGATATTCTAATTTTGACATTTCTAAAAATATTTATTTCAAATTATAATTGCACTTCACTGAATATTTTACATTTAAACTTGTCCCAGCAACCTCAATATGATGGGTTACCTTTAATGCTAATGATTCCTGTTTCCAGCAATACTGCCTGCAGCCTTCTGTTCCTGAGTACATCCTGAAGTGCTCACAAACATCAGGGAACTGGTTCAGAGCCATCTCCCATCCCGTATCAGGGCCCTCTGGTGGTGGCCAGGAAAAGCAAAGATGTATACAAACACTGAGCAGAACATAACTAGGATTTATCTATGACAGAGGTAAATTATCATATTGGCATTATTTTTATTGGCTTTTTTATGGGTTTCAGGAACATCTACAGATGTATTAAGTTTTGTGAATGCACTGTTATAATTTAAACATATTTTAAGATCGCCAACTGCTACATAGCCAAATGTTTTGGCATCAAATCATAAATATGCTCATTAACATAAACCTGGAGATAGGGAGTTATTAGATGTTTTGTACATTAAACTAAACTGTTAATTTGTGCAATCACAGTAGACGCAATACAAGTACATACAGTGGAAAAATTATTTATTTGGCTTGTTGGCAAAAGTGCTTAAGTTTGCCAGTTGGCACATAACGATGACAAGGACTTAATAAAATCATCAAAGGGGATTAGAAATGATTTTCTTAAAGGGGTCTTAAGACGTCAGAAGCTTATTGTAAGTGGCCTGTAAGACATTGTACAATTCCAAGCGAAGAGACACATCTAACCTGAATTCATCTTTTAACACTATATATAACATATATATATATATAATTGTTTTATATGTTCATAGCCCTGAAGAAGGGGGATCTTTGAAAAGTGTTAGTATTTCCTGGTGAATTTACATTAAATCTTACACTGGTCATTAATCAGTAGAGTGTTATTTCTATTCTCTACCTTGTCCTCACATTTTTATCCCTGTCTGTGTCATCACTGGAAAGATGCACCCTCTCTGTTTGTCCTGGTGAATGTTGTTACTGGAGTGAGAATTGTGTTAGAGAAGATTTCCCTTACTTTGGCGAAATCTCTCACTTTCTTTTGTGCATCAAGACAAGAAATGAGGGAAAAATCTTCCTAATGGAACAAAGACAGCAGCACCATTCTCCAAACTATCCCAAACTAAAAGTAAAAGATTCAGATATACTTCGCTTAAACTGTAGGAAAATCTTGTATTCACATTTACAAAATATGGTAAATAAAAATGTATATACTGACAAACCAAAATAAATATCTGGTTGAATTTCCACACATAGCAAATTTAGGCAAATTCAAAAGTCAACCTAAACTGTCCTCACTCACGATTCATGTGTCTATACATACATAAACAAAGGTGTTGACCCATCCTTATTTAAGTTTGTGTTGCAGAACATTTGACTATAAAATTAATTTCATCTGTGAAATTTCTTCATTTTCCTTCTAATACGAGCTGGTGTATGTTGCCGATTCTAATTTGAAATGCATTACATTCACAGCCCATGAGTTTAATGACTGATATATCTGCAAACAGATTATAATAAATTGTTGGGCCTTTTTTAATAATATTCCATCAAAAAAAGCAGTAAACACTTGATGTTTTCATTCAACAGAATGTAAATTAGCATTTTGAGGTTACACGTTGGGTTGCAATAACAGTAAATAAAAAAACTTTTTGCATTGTTTCTATAAAAGAAAAAAAATGTGATTTAATATGATTTCCAGCAGATCCTCCAAATACATTTACTTGATGAGATTGTGGGCCATGAGTTCAAAAAGTGTTCTGTAGACTTTGCCACAAATCATATTGTTTCTTTGGGACTATCCACCGACAAGCAATAATTTAGACAAGCAGAGAAATGGTCTTTCAATTAGCTCAGAATACTGCTCTTCTTTCAAGATTACGATTCTATATATTTTTTTCCTTTCTCTCTTCTTTTTTTTTCTCACTGCAGTAGCAGATGGACAGAGAATACTGCCTGCAGCACCTTCCGATGACAGTCTAACTCTCCCCTCCCAGGCACTGCTGTTAGTAAATAATTAGATTTACACATTCCCCAATCTCCACACATCTTTCCACCGCATAATTAAAAGTGGGATGATTAGTTTATTGAGTGCAAGGAGGAACTTTTTTATTGAGGTCCATTCATGATTTTATCAGGGCCAGCACTTTTATAGTTGTCACGCGGGTGCCGGCATCCAATTTTTCTTATCAACCTGATTAATACAAACGCTGTTTCAGGACGCATTAATTAACAGATACAAATCTACGTTCTCATGGAAGGATCAATACGGAGAAGAAAAGAGGCATCAATGTGAATTTAGTGCTGATGATGGAGCAGACACCATATTGACATTTACGTGGATGGAAACCTTAAAGTTTTTCTACAGCCCCTTTTGTCCCAGTGATTTAGAAATTAGCTGTTTCTTTTTCCTTTTCAGGCCTTGCAGTGTTTTAGGCACCTTCGTGGGGTTTAATTAAGAACATGGTGATAAATTCTGTCAAGTTATTATAAGGGTGTTGCTGCAATAGTGTGTTTCTTTTCACTTAAAACTTCTTACGATTCACCCCACCTAAAAGGATATTTTAGGCTGATGGTGCTTTAGATCTCTTAGGGCTTCCAATGGTAGGACATCTGTATTTGTGTTCCCAGGTCCACCTTCTTGCCATGGCCACTAAAAGGGAGGGAGGTCTCACTCTTATTGTTTAAATTTTTATGATGGATAATGACACGGTACAAGGGAGACTCTTCCTACTTAAAGTGTCATCCAAGGGGGTTTTGGATAGAGTGGGGATAGATTAAAAATGTCACGTCATATGCTCAGTTGTCTTTGTATTTATAGATTAAACAGTGCCACTTACAGGCAGTGCACAACTTCACTTCTTCCCAAGTGCAGTACAGTAGCAAGCCACAAAATGCCAACACATTTAAAGGTTCCATGATGCAAATGTATTTCCCCATATCGACTACAGAATAAGAACTATACAGCCTCTGATGCATTTCAGCTAACCCTGCCCTTACTCTTAGCTAAGTATGAAGGCATCTTCCTACCCTTATATATCCACCCACCAAAGTAGTTAGGGCAAGGTTAATGGTAACATCTGAACTGGATCACTACCAGGATCCAAAAAACACACATATCTAAAAACATAAAACCCTTTCAATGGATTATAACCCCTTTTGGGTATTCCTGATATCTTGGTCTCTGTTGGAGAGACTGCCCCTCACTTACTGTCCTGATGATAGTAAGGACTACTTAACAAGCCTGTGCATTGCCTCGTACAGAACAGATAGGCAGTCCAACGGCCAACTTAAAGAGCATGCAGGCTGACAAGCCTTGTCAGCCTCAAACAGGAAGACCTGTTATTGTCAAGATCTCCAAGTAAGAAACTTTGCAACAGATAAAATATCTGCTTAAGAAAATGTTATACAGTATGGTATGATGGCAGACATTCTGAAACACATATTTTGAGTTTACATACATTTTAAAGGAAATCGGGTGTTTGATAAAAGAATACATTCTAGAGACCAGTTATATTTAAAGTTTAAACATTTAAAGCTAAAATCATCTTTCAAAATTGATTTAAACATGGGCCTAACAAAACTATTCATTATATTCAGTGACAGTAAGTGTGTTTCCAGGAGTGAAAATATATTCTGATCAGAGCAGACAATTGACTCCAATGGTGAGTGACACAGAAGCTGGGAGCAATAGGCCTCTGTGTTTGTAGTGGTTCTAATGAATTACAAAATATACGTGTTTTAATTAAATAGCAGGTTGATAAATCAATATGTCTTGGTCAATATTTAAGCTGCTCTATGAATATTTAGGAAAATGAATCCACAATTCCCACATATGTACCCTAAAGACAAAGCAAATCTTCTTTAATTAGTAAGCGGGCATGTTTGGTTTTAAAATGTTTAGAAAAAACAAAAAAAGAAG